AAAGGACCTGTCAGCGAGGTAAGATCTAAACCATTCGAGGGCTGAGCCAGTGATGCCCACCCACTGCTCTAACCTCGCAATGAGGATCTCGTGGTCAATTGTATCAAAGGCAGATGTGAGGTCCAGTAAGAGAAGGAGCACAGAATCACCAGCGTCTGAGAATGTCATTAAAAACCTTGAGTAGAACAGTTTCAGTGCTGTGGAGAGGTTTAAAGCCAGACTGGAATAGCTCTAAGATGGCATTATCCTCTAGCAGGTGCAAGGTCGTGCTGAAAAATGAAATCTTCATCTCCATAAAGCTTTTCAGCAGATAGAAGCATGAAGTGCTCCAAAAACTCCTGATAGCTAGCTGCATTGACCCTGTGCTTGATAAAACACAGTGGACCAACACCAGCAGATGACATGACACCCCAGTGACTGTGGAAACTTGACACTGGACCTCAAGCAATTTGAATTCTGTGTCTCCTCTCTTCCTCCAGACTCTGGGACCTTGATTTCCAAAGGAAATGCAAAATTTACTGTAATCAGAGAACATAACTTTGGACCACTCAGCAGCAGTCCCAGGCGAGATGCTTCTGACGCAGTCTCTTGTTCAAGAGTGGCTTGACCTGGGGAATGCGGCACCTGTAGCCCATTTTCTGCACACGCCTGTGCACGGTGGCTCTGGATGTTTCTACTCCAGACTCAGTCCACTGCTTCTGCAGGTCCCCCAAGGTCTGGAATCGGCCCTTCTCCACAATCCTCCTCAGTGTCCGGTCACCTCTTCTCATTGTGCAGCATTTTCTGCCACACTTTTCCCTTCCCACACACTTCCCACTGAGGTGCCTTGATACAGCACTCTGGGAACAGCCTATTCGTTCAGCAATTTCTTTCTGTGTCTTACCCTCTTGCTTGAGGGTGGCATTGATGGCCTTGAGGGTGGCATTGATGGCCTGGACAGCAGTCAGGTCGGCAGTCTTACCCATGATTGCGGTTTTGAGTAATGGACAAGGCTGGGAGTTTTTAAAAGCCTCAGGAATCTTTTGCAGGTGTTTAGAGTTACGTCGTTGATTCAGATGGTTATGTTAATAGCTTGTTTAGAGAACCTTTTCATGATATGCTAATTTTTTGGGACAGGCATTTTGGGTTTTCATGAGCTGTATGCCATAATCATCAGTATTAAAACAATTAAAGACCTGAAATATTTCAGTTGGTGTGCAATGAATCTGAAATAAATGAAAGTTTCATTTTTATCATTACATTATGGAAAATAATGACCTTTATCACAATATGCTAATTTTTTAGAAGGACCTGTATAAGTACAGTCCATTTACAATTACGTTTTTCCACACGCTTTGAACACTGCAGCTTATACAATGATGCGGCTAATTTATGGATTTTTATGGGCTAACGAGCTTCATGACGCCAAAACATTTACCCTCATCACACCAGGGTGATTACATAGCTGCCCTAAACACGTCTTGTGATCATGTGAAACAAATGATACCTGAGGGCACAACGAAGTATTTGCAGCCACTCGACATACTGTATGTGTGAATCGTGAATTAATGTGGCACTCCGAGCTCACTGGGAGGTTTGGATGACTGGAGATGAGAAATTGTTTATCTAAACTTATCACATGGGAAGAGCAACATTTGCTCAAGTCTGCCAGTGGATCCTGTCAGCATGGAGCAGTGTCAAAACATCCACAATCACCAATGTGTTTCAAAAGGCTGGACATCTGCGTGATGAAGAGGACAGGGCAAGCTCAAGTACGAATTTGCCTCGAGATGAAAGTGACGTTGAAAGAGACTGAGGACGTGTGTGATGAAATAATTCTGAGGCTGTTCAATTCTGACACTGAAGAAGATGAATTTAGTGTTTTTAGTGCACAGGAGGAAGATGACGATAGTGATCAATGACTATTCCTGGTAGGCTACTGTACCAGTATATTTTTTTTAAATTGCCAGCCGTGTTACAGGCACTGTTAAAAATAAATAAATAAATAATTACTGTACATATTTTTGTATGTTGCCAATACATATTTAATTAAAAGTTTAAAAGATCTTTCTGTGTAAAAGAAATAAAAAAATATCATGTTACAATGTGGACACCTGCTGCTTATAGACAAGTGTGGCCTATATATGTACAATTTCTTTTTTTTCTTTTTAAAATTAGTGGGTGCAGTTTATATTCAGGTCCGCTCAATAGTCCGGAAATTACGGTAGATTAGTCACTTTATCTGTTTATGTAGGTAAATAAATCTATAGGGGAGTTGGCAGCAAATGTTGCTTACAATTTTTTAATGAAATAATCCAACAATTACCAGTATAACATTAATCTATACTTTTTAGAAATACCCTTTCCCCCCCCTGCCTCCGGTCTTCACGATAAAACACCACATTAGATGTGCTCTCTATAAATGAGTATCTTTAATGTGGCAAAATGAAGTTTGGACACTCTTCTGGATTTTCTGGCAGAGAACAGAATTCATGGTTCCATCAGTTACGTAACGCGTTTGGGTCCTGAAGCAACCCCAAATCATCACACTACCACCACCTTGTTTGACTGTTGGCATGATGTTCTTATTCTAAAATAGTGTTCATTTTCCACACTAGATGTAACGGGACACACACGTTCTAAACTGTTCCACTTTTGTCTCATCAGTCCACAGATAATTTCCTCTAAAGACTGAAGGCTCGTCAGGATGTGTTTTGGGGGCAATTGTGGGATGATCTGTTGTCTACTTTTTGCTCAGTAGTGGTTTTGACCTTGGACACTCCTTTGGAGACCATTTTCTCTTTCATTTGTCTCTTGTTGAATCACAAACACTGACTGAGGCGAGTGAGGCCTCCAGGGCTTTAGATGTTCTGGGTCTTTTGGGGCCTCTTGTATGAGTTGTTGATGTGCTTTTGGAGTAATTTGGGTTGTTGGGCCACTCCTGGGAAGGTTGCACTGTTTTTCTAGTTTGGCATAATGTACCAGTATATATTTAATTGATTTCTTGATTTTACAGTTCTGGCTGTAATCAGGTCTGGGTGGCTCTAGGTAAATTTAACTGAACTTTTTACAGAAAGCACAGTTAAAGAGATTATTTCACATAATTTGAATAACCCTTTTCTCCTTAATGAACAAAACCGTTTTAAATCTGCATTTTGAATTTACTCTGATCATCTTTGTCGAATGGTTAAATTTGTATGCTTATCTGAACCATTTAAGTAAAAGAAAAGAAAAATAATATTTCTGGGGTGAACACTTGCACAGCGCTGTAGTTCATAAATCAAATATTCACTCAGTTTACAAAATATAAGCAGCACCTGCTTTACATTAAACCAAAGCTCCTCTCAGATCTCCGGTCTCCAAGGAAGCAACGATCCTCCTTCAGGTTTTTACCCACACTTGAACTTCCAGGTCGTGCTCAAGTCAGATATATTGGGAAAATCAAGAGACATCAAGTCGTTTATCTAACTTAATCTGTCCAGATATCTTCACAGGAGCTGCAGGTGTCCTTAATATCCTGTACACTGAGTGCATTTCAAGTATTATGCTCAATGTAAACAATAACTGGATGAGATGGGAAAGGTTTAGGGGGGAGCGTCGGCACTGTGGGCTAGACTAATCTGAATCTCAATCACCCTTCTAGCATCATTAATCATGCTTTCTGCTACAGTTCAATTTGGGCTCCACTTATCGTTGAATGGCTGAATTAGTGGTCTATAGATCACTAAAATATTTAAAACAAGATAAGATCAAATAAGATCTCTCCTGTCCAACACATGTTTTATTAAAAGCCTCAACATGAGCGTTTAACTTGAATAAAACACGTAATGCATTATATTTGGCTTGAAAAGCTGGTAAGTGGGCCCAAATTATCTTTATGTATTTCAAGTTGGAAGTCCACGAGCTGGACAGTTCGACACCAGACCTCGTCTGTGACGGTTTACCTTCAGAACCTAAAAGTTCAATCATCACCGAACCAAAAATAACACTGCAAGCCTTTAAAAGTCCACGACAAAGGTTTAACACAAAGTTCCACATCTCTGCTCCAAATGGCAATGTCACTCCAGCTCAGTGATATGTAGTACAAATACAAGTCCTACAACTGTGACATATTAAAACGTACTTTGAGTCTCGTTTCACCAGATGTGCCTTCCCATTAAATTGGCTCCTGTCTTCGTCGGGTCCCTCCAGTGACTTTTCACATTGAGTCATACTTTATTATGTGCTGCTCTCTGAGCTCCGGCCATGCCTCACACACACTTAAGGGTGCATTCACACTAGCCCTGTTTAGTCCGCTTTAATCGAACTCTAGCTCATTTTCCTAGAAAGTCCGGTTCGTTTAGGGAGGTGTGAATGCGCCATCGAACTCTGTCACGGAACAAAAAGGCGAACTCTGGCCCGGGCTAAAACCTAGGTCTCGGTCCGGTAGAAGAGAACTCCAGCGCGGTTCGAGTGCAGTGTGAATGTAAACAGACCGGACCCCGCTCCGCAGGGTAAACAAACATGCATTTCTCTGACCTTATATGGAGCCGTCAGCTGCCTTGTGTGAAAAACAATATTCTCCATGGTCTTCTATCTCATCTTCTGCACATGCTAAGTCCATTTTTGAAAAATGACAAAATATAACGCCTAAAACTGCTAAAACTTGATGTCACTTCGTTTTTATTTTTATTTACAGAAGAAGAAGAAAACGTGTCTTCAGAGGTTTTTGTGTCGTTTCTTTCAGTAGTTCTTGGTGCAGCGTCCCCACAGGCGAGCGGGGGAATAGGTTGGTTCAACAGGTTGACTCGACTGCACAGTGCAGTGTGAATGCAAACTCAACAGCTCAAATGTAAACAAAAGCTCATGAATATTGGTCCCGAACCGAACCGAGCCTACCGGACTATCTAGTGTGAAAACAACCTTAGACTAAGCACCAACTACAAAGACAGACCATTACCCAGTGGACAGGAATTGGCAGTAAATTCTGCAACATTGATGGCCTAAATCCTTTTTTTTATTTTTTTTTATTCCTCTCTCTCTCTCTCTCTTTTTTTTTTTTTTTTTTGGAGTGTTTTTAGAAGTTGAATATTTGCCTGTTGGATTTTAAATAAATTGTTTCATTGAATTCAAAGTTACTTTGGGATGCTCTGTTTGATGTGTTCAGTGATTTGTGTTTCTACATTTGTATTTATGTATGTGTGTGCTGTAAGTTAGTTTATGCAGTAGGTCCATTAAATCTGAAGTGTCTGTGTAAACCGTATCAGTACTTGTGATTATGTTTGATTGTGTATGTCCATGTACATGCTCATGTATGTGAGGGATAATGTCCTCATCTGCGTACCACGTGTTGAATGTTGAGGACTCCTCTGTTGCAGTTTGGTTTGGGGTGTGCGTGTGTACAGTGTGTGCACACCAGATGTGTTTATTTGTGTAGATTTGGTTTATTGTGTGTGTTTATCTCAGCTCTCTGCAGACATGGCTAAGGTGAGCTGCTCCACTTTATACGCCAACTTCTGCCTTTGGGCTTGTTCATCTTGCTCCAATGCCTCAATGATCTGAAACACAAAACCAGGAATATGAGGGCTGTTGTTGGTCAGCTGTGAAAATTGCACTAATTTACAGTTTTTATTTATTTATTATCAGTAACATCCATTATACATCACCTGCAGTGGTATGTTATCAATAAATCCTAATTTGCCACTTTAAGATTTTGTTAGCATGTTTTTATCTTTCTGTACATCTTTTCAATCAAGCATCTTCATATTTTGTGCTGTTTTAACCATCCATGTAAAAACATTCAGCTCCTTCATGAGATGGCTGCTGGACTTTTGTTTTTTGTAACTTTTTTACTTTTCAAAATGTATAATCGTTTTACAAACATTACTTCTGTAGAAAAACTATTGCTTTATTTTCAGTTTTTTTAGTTTATTTAATTTTTTTAACATTGGTCTCTTTTAAATCAGCTTCAGCAAATCATTTTGTTTTTAGTTTTTAGGTACAGTTCAGCTACTTTAGGTTTTCAGCTACTTTTTAGTTATTTTAAAACTACTGTTCGACTAGTTTCAGCTAGCCTTTAGCTACATCTGAGTAGCATTTTACAACGTCAAGCTTTCGGTTAGCTACATGTTATTTTTTATTGTATTTTATTTTTTACATTAAGCTAGCCTTTGATGCTTTTAGATAACCTTTTGATGTTTTTAGCCATCCTTTTGCTACATTTAGCTTCCAACTAATTTTTAGCTCCTTTTTGTACTTTTACGTGGCTTTTTAAAAACTGTCAACCTTAAGATATTACTTTCCTACTTTATGTTAGCATTTTGTTTCTTTTAGCTTTTAGCTAGTGTTTTGTGTGCAGCACGGTGGCGCAACTGGTAGAGCTGCTGCCTCTCAGCGAGCAGGTCCCTGGTTCAAACCCCGGTACAGGGGCCTTTCTGGGTGGAGTTTGCATGTTCTCTCTGTGCATGCGTGGGTTTTCACCGGGTACTCCGGTTTCCTCCCACAGACCAAAAACATGCATGTTAGGCTGATTGGTAACTCTAAATTGTCCATAGGTGTGAGTGAGAAAGTGAATGGTTGTTTGTCTCGTTTGTCTCTATGTGGCCCTGTGATGGACTTGCGACCCGTCCAGGGTGTACCCCGCCCCTCGCACAGTGATTGCTGGACATGGGCACCGGCGACCCCCGTAACCCAAAATGGAACAAGCGGGTAAAGAAAATGGATGGATGGATGGATAGTGTTTTGTGTTTTTTCAGCTTACACAGCTCAATTTCAGCTTCTTCAGTAAATTTAAAGTTATTAATAAATTGTATTTTTGCTGATTTTTTTTTTCTTCTAGTTAGTAACTTCATTATTTTATAAATTTTTTTTGCTCATTTGATTTGTTTGGATCAAATGCAAATGTTTCCGTAAAGTTTTACGTTTGACTTTTTTACTTTTGATTGAGCGGAAATTTAACAACGTAATTTTGATCTCAGAGTTTTTTTTTAATGTTTGATCATTGGACAATTTATAGGCTAATTACAGATTAAACGAATAAGAGGCTGATCTATCACCATTTAAATGGCTGTGGTTTAGGGAAAAAAATGGTTATTATACTTAACACCTACCATGTTTTGCTCCTAAATAAATGCCTTTATGACTGAGAAATACTCACGTTTGACAGAATAAAGAAGCTTTAATGTGACTGTCTGAGTATAGTTTGTAGAACATGCTGAATGGTGAAAAGGACTAGAAAAGTCTGTTATGAATGCAGATCTATGAAAAACAGCTGCAACTTGTGGGCATGTCCTTCAGACAGAGAATCATTAGAATATTTTTATTTTTTTTACCTGACACAATGCATCTGTTTTATATGTCAGGAGGGCAAAGATGGTGTTATAAAAGCTGAAATGTAGCTTTCATGTGTTTTGTGTGTTCTGCTGCAGAGGCAGAGAAACTGAGGTTTAGTGACATGTTTTTTTATGTTTTGTTTTGCATGAAAAATACACATTCTAAAAGTACATGTTTAAGTGCATATAATTTAAAACACTTTTTGTCTCTAAAAAAGCCTTTGGTCTTAATAAATGTGTTTTTTGTTGGGCAGTGAACACATTCAATTTTCACTTTCTGAGTTGAGTGAAATGTTTGGTTCTTCAGACGCTAAATGATTCCAATTCATCTGTTGCAGCTTTTAAATAAATGTTGTGTCTTCCATGGCTGGAAATTAGATCATAAATCACAGCATAAATCATCAGCAAAAATTTAACTTTAAAGGTGGTAAACTGAAATTAAAGAGATATTTTTAATTCGAGCTGTTGGGAACCACAGCAAGGCGATAACTCTACAGATGCATAACCACATGAAAAACAATGATTCATTATTTAAAAATTATATATAATTACATCATATTTAATTACTGCAGTACCCTCATATTGTGAACAAATGTTTAAAACCCTGTTGGGTGTTTTGTTGTGTTGACTGAGCCCCCCCCCCCCCCCCCCCCCCCCCACACACACACACCTCTTGGCTGTACTTGTTGACGTAAGCGTAGATCTCATGGAGGGCACTGAGCACATTGAACTCGCTGGAGTGGAGGCGAGCCTGTTCAGCCAGATAGGCATTCATATCCTGATCACTGATGGCAGGTAGGCGGTTGATGTCAGCGTAGTACCTGAGATTAGACACACACACACACTCTGTCAGTGTCAAGGTCATGTGCGTCAAAGCTTTTCTCCGCAGTTGAGTCGCTTCAATTCTTGTGAAAAGTTACAGAACGTTCAATAATTAGGGCATCTGTGCATCCGCGGTGTTTGTGTGGAAAAAATAAAACTGCATTAGTTTTTGTACAATATATGCAGGTAAAGACAACACTTTATTTACTAAAATCAGCAATAATTCAGTCTTAAGTTTATGATTTGAATTTAATATTATGGATTTAGCTTATGTGCGTGCACACTCAAACCACAAATACACACCTTTCTACCCAGCTTTTGTAATGTGGTATGTCCTTGGCATAGAGTAGTTTGGTGGATGGGGAGTCTTTGCCCAAACGATGTTCAGATGTTGAGCAGGAGTCCATAAATGTCTGTGCCACCACGGACAGACAGGCATCCGTGATGCTGCTTTTATGGATGTCGAACACAAACTGAGGATTTTTGATTACATTTACCCAGAAGCGCAGTGGGAGGCTGAGAAAAAAAAATAAAAAATGAAACCAAGAAACATCCCATTCTGCAAACAAAATCATTTACTTCTCGAGTACCAAATGTTCCTCTTGGGTTTGCGTTTCATTAATTCCTTCTTGACTTTTTGTTTGACTTTGGTTATGAGAACAAGCTGCAGATTAGAAATGTGTTAATTTTGTATTAATTTGTGTTAATTTTGTATAGTTGTCAGACATCAACGTCAGAAAAATGCTGAAACTGTACAACACAGAAGAGCATGGAGTAGGGTGGGAAAATGTGTATATTTTATAATGGAATAAAAAAAAACATTGGGAGGAAAAAAGTACATCAAGTGAAGAATGAGTATCAGCAAAGGAAAAGTTTACAAGACTGTGGTGAGACTAGCTATACTGTATGGTCTGGAGACAGTGGTTTGACAAAAAGACAGGAGAAAGAACTTGAAGTGACAGAAATTAAGATGTTCAGGTTCTCCTTAGGAGTGACCAGGATGGATAAGATTAGGAATGAGATCATCAGAGGTACAACACAGGTTGAACAACTGGGAGATAAAGTTAGAAAGACCAAACTGAGATGGTTTGGACATGTCCAGAGGAGGGACAGTGGATATATTGGTAGAAGGATGTTAGAAATGCAGCTGCCAGGTAAAATACAAAGAGGAGATATATGGATGCAGTTAGAGAGGACATGGAGGTAATTGGAGTGAGGACAGAGGATGAGGACAGAGATGGAAGAGGATGACTCCCTGTGGCGACCCGTCAAGAGGGAAAAGTCGAAACAAGAAGTACTACTGATAAGTGAAGAATGAAGCGAACTTGGCAGATGCTTAATTTAAATATAAGCTGAAGAGTTTCTTCTTTTAAACATATTAAACAGGATATCCTGATACATGCTCAATAATCCAGGTAGAAAAATCCAAAAAAGTTCAATCTGGTCCTCTGGACATTCAAAAAACAAGAAAACAAAAAACAAAACAAAGCAAAAAAAAAAAAAATAGAAACATTTCGTCTCTCATCCGAGAGACTTCCTCAGTCTGAGGTGCTGTATTCAGCTCAGTCTCTTAAATGGCACCTTCTTAGAGTGGATCAACCAGTTTTGCTGCTGACAACCAAAACCAGCTGCTCACATGGTCAAGAAGGACCATCAGCCTAACAATGGATCATTAGCACACTGATGGCTGTTTACTATTCACAGGGGGTTGAGTGATACTAGCAATCACAGCATTGTAAGAGGGGGACAGTTGAACCTGGAGGCCTCCACCCCAGTTTAATGATGGACGATTTCTTTTCACAAAGATGGCCTCCTTTACTCCTCTCTCAAACCATCGTTCCTCTCTGTCCAGGATGTGAACATCTTCATCCCTGAAAGAGTGACCACTGGCCTGGAGATGAGTGTAGACCGCAGAATCCTGGCCTGATGATGTTGATCTTCTGTGCTGGGCCATCCTTTTGGCCAGTGGCTGTTTAGTTTCTCGATGTAAGACTGATCACAGCCCTCCTGACACTGAACAGCATACACAACATTACTCTGTTTGTGCCGGGGGACTGGATCTTTGGAAGATCTTTAGAGAAGATGTAAAAAATGGCAGCTTGGCTTTCTTGGACTGTGAGGTCTCAGTCTCTTATAGAGGACTTTTGCAAACCGAGGTGTACCGCAAACCCACCCACACAGACCAGTATTTGCAGTTTGACTCCCATCACCCTTTGGAGCACATTACGGCAAAGACTGGTTCATCCCAAAGATCCAGTCCCCCGGCACAAACAGAGTAATATTGTGTATGCTGTTCATTGTCAGGAGGGCTGTGATCAGTCTTACATAGGGGAAACTAAACAGCTACTGGCCAAAAGGATGGCCCAGCACAGAAGATCAACATCATCAGGTCAGGATTCTGCAGTCTACACTCATCTCCAGGCCAGCGGTCACTCTTTCAGGGATGAAGATTCTCACATCCTGGACAGAGAGGAACGATGGATTGAGAGAGAAGTAAAGGAGGCCATCTTTGTGAAAAGAAATCGTCCATCATTAAACTGGGGTGGAGGCCTCCGGGTTCAACTGTCCCCCTCTTACAATGCTGTGATTGCTAGTATCACTCAACCCCCTGTGAATAGTAAACAGCCATCAGTGTGCTAATGATCCATTGTTAGGCTGATGGTCCTTCTTGACCATGTGAGCAGCTGGTTTTGGTTGTCAGCAGCAAACTGGTTGATCCACTCTGAGAAGGTGCTATTTAAGAGACTGAGCTGAATACAGCACCTCAGACTGAGGAAGTCTCTCGGATGAGGGACGAAACGTTTCTAAATTTTTTTTGCTTTTTTTGGTTTTTTGTTTTCTTGTTTTTTGAATGTCCAGAGGACCAGATTGAACTTTTTTGGATATTAAACAGGAGTTTTAGTCCAGACTCTTATCCAGATCTGGAATAAACAAGTCCATGCAGTCCATGTCATGATGCTTTATTTTGAAATGCATTGATACGATGATGCAATGAAGAGTGGTGTAGTTCCTTTAGTACAGAGTGTACAAAAAAAAAAGGAGTGAGTTTGTAACTGTACAGGTGGTATCTCACTGGACTGTGAATGTTGGAGACTAGTTGGTGTCTAAAATTTCAACTGTTCTAACTTCACTGATTTCCGAGTGTTTATGACGAGTGAGCTGCCTAACCATTCGCACAACTCGCAGAACTGTGTTAGTTGAACATTACTTTGTTACCCAGTTAGTATCATACCCGCCTCGGCTCGCTTTCTTTGAAAACACCTTTTGTTCCGAGCTTTATTCAGCTCATAGGAGGCAGTTCTGTTTTTTACACTAATTTCCATTTTGTAATTTAAACCGCCAAACATCTGTAACTTTCACCTGAAACATTTTAATGTTACAGCATTTGTTGCCTCTGAAGTGAGTTTCTTTAATTGATTTATTCTGTGGGAAATCAAAAGACTGTTAATTTTGATAATACATTTAAGTAATGAAGTTGATCACATTTAGGTGGAGTTATAAAAGTACTGTTCACATTCCGTTGGAGCAGCTTAGGTTCACAAACAAGAAATTGTAGACAAATGATAAAAGTTTGTAGGTTGTGAGTTGTAAGCAAACTTAATTTTTAATGGATTTAATTGTGGATTTAGACTATCTAGAAATCAGATTTGGACATTTTCATGTAATGTTTGAGAAGCCCTACTTTCAAGTTTGAATATAAAAATGCTTTTAAATTATTCCACCAATGTTAAACATTATTAACTTTGAACATAAAATCTAAGTTGAGACTAATTTTCAACCAAACACAAATGGTGAACTTTGGTTGCGGTACTTCATATCCATAAATAAACCCAACATCAAATCTGTGTCAGCACGTGTGTATGGAAACTGCAACGTTGTTAAACACTGTGTATAATCATTATATTATTGCCCTTATGCAGTTGTAACTTGGGTTTTAATAATCACATCTCAACTAATAATATCTCAACCTTTGGAGATGTTTCTTAAATATTTTTAATTATAAATAAAAGATTAACATCATAAAAAGAACAGCCATTGTTTGTTACTAAGGTAATGTTTGTATTAGACAGTGTTCTAGCACTGAATTTTGGTCACCTTTTGTTTACTCAATAAAATGTGAAAATTGTTGCCAGCCAAGGAGTTTACACTTGGTAACACATTGGATCACTAATTTAATATATGTGATGAAACACCATGACCATCAGAAATCTGTCTCACCAGTTGCTTTTCCACGTGTGGCGAACATCCATGTCATGGATGTCGTGCCTGTCCGCCTGCTCATCGAGGAAGTCAAACATGTATTTGATGGCGAGAGGCAAGGCGGTACCTCGGCACACAGTGCTGAACAGGGTCTCAAACAGGTCGTCCACAAACTTCTGCAGAGTGCCCTGCAGAGGAAATCAGTTTAAACAGAATACATTTTTTGCAGTGTTTGTGATTCTGGTGCCGATTTGTGGAACTTATTTTGTCATATTTTTCAGCTGTAAACGGTTACTGAAAGCAAACCCCGGCACACGTATCGAAAAGGACAAATAAATATATACACTTCAGTTTGTGGAACTATATGCTATAAACTTGTGTACATTAGGTACAACTTTGCTCCCAGAAAGTTTTCCTTACTCAACTTTATGTCACACGAAACATGTACTATATTTTACTGGGTTAAAGTGCAAAATGTTTCAGTTTTACAACAAACAAAAAAAAGCACTGTTTTTTAATCATTCCTTTTCTGATATACAAACATACAACTTACATTTTGTTATATCATGACATGAAAGTTTAACATCTCAGTACCTGATGATCTTTATGTTTGATTTTACCCTTTGTCTGCATATATGTCAAACTCAAGATCCGTGGGCCAAATCTGGTCCCCCAATATGATAATTTAAATGTAAAATATGATATCTCTTCTAAATTTTTCTTTAAAAAAATAGATAAATACATCATTAATATTTATTTATCATTGATAAATACATCACAGTGAGCGGTGCTTATCGTGCTGTGCCTCGTGCTGCCCTGGGTCTCTCAGATCATGAGATGATTCACCTCATACCTGCATACAGACAGAGACTGAAGCTCTCAAAACCTGTGGTGAGGACATCCAAAAAGTGGACCAGTGAAGCTGTGGAGGAGCTACGCAAGTGCTTGGACACCACAGACTGGGACCTGTTCAGGGCTTCTACAGACAGTCTAGATGAATACACAAACACTGTGACGTCATATATACATTTCTGTGAGGACAGCATCATCCCATCACGCTCCAGAGTCATTTTCAATAAGACAGCTTCGTCAGCAGAAGGAGGCTGCTTTCAGAGAGGGGGACAGAGACAACTACAGACGTGCGAAGTATGGATTTAGCAGGGAGGTGTCGAAGGCTAAATCCAGGTACAACACACGGCTGGAACAACAATTCTCTGCAAACGACTCTGCCTCTGTCTGGAGGGGGCTGAAAGAGATAACTAACTACAAGCCCAGAGCACCTCATTCTACAGACAATCTCAAACTGGCAAACGATCTGAACGACTTCTATTCACGCTTTGAAGTCATGGACTCACATTCCTCCATCCTCCACACCAACCCCAGCCCAACTGGTTTAACAACTTTGGACTGCCCCCGACAACCCCCTGCTATCTCTGTACAAGAGGATGAAGTAAGGAGGTTTTTTAAAAGGCTGAATACACATAAGGCTGCAGGCCCAGACCTTGTGTCACCCTCCACGCTGAGACATTGTGCTGGAGAGTTGGCTTCGGTCTTCACAGGGATCTTCAACTCTTCTCTGGAGTCATGCCACGTCCCAGCCTGTTTCAAGTCCTCCATCATCGTCCCTGCCCCCAAGAAGCCACGTGTCACAGGACCAAATGACCTGTAGCTCTCACGTCTGTAGTCATGAAAACCTTTGAACGCTTGGTTTCATCTCATCTCAAGTCCATCACTAGCCCCCTCCTGGACCCCCTGCAGTTTGCCTACAGGGCCAACAGGTCTGTAGATGATGCAATAAACCTGGCTCTTCACTTCATCCTGCAGCACCTGGACTCCCCAGGAACCTACGCCAGGATCCTGTTCGTAGACTTCAGCTCTGCATTTAACGCCATCCTCCCTGCTCTGCTCCAAGACAAGCTCTCCCTGCTTCATGTACCTGACTCCACCTGCAGGTGGATCACAGACTTCCTGACAGACCGGAGTCAGTGCGTGCGGCTGGGGAGAGCTGTCTCGGACACTCGGACTGTAAGCACAGGATCTCCACAGGGCTGTGTGCTTTCCCCCCTGCTTTTCTCCCTGTACACCAACTGCTGCACCTCCAGCCATGACTCTGTGAAACTTATTAAGTTTGCAGATGACACCACCCTCATCGGGCTCATCTCGGACGGTGATGAATCTGCATACAGGAGGGAGGTGGACCGGCTGGTGACCTGGTGCAGCAGCAACAACCTGGAACTCAATGCCCAGAAGACAGTGGAGATGATTGTGGATTTCAGGAAAGCCACAGCCCCTCTGCCCCCCCCTCACCTGTAATGATACCCCCATCACCACTGCAAACTCTTATCGGTTCCTCGGCACCACCATCACCCAGGACCTCAAGTGGGAGCCGACCATCAGCTCCCTCATCAAGAAGGCCCAGCAGAGACTGTACTTCCTGTGACAGCTGAAGAAGGCCAAGCTGCCGGCCAAGCTGATGGTGCAGTTCTACACGGCCATCATCGAGTCCATCTTCAGCTCCTCCATCACGGTGTGGTACGCCGGGGCCACTGCCAGGGACAGACTGAGACTGCAGCATGTTGTGTGCTCAGCTGAGAAGGTGATCGGCTGCAGCCTTCCATCCCTCCACGACCTGTACGTCTCCAGGACTGTGAGGCGAGCAGGTAGGATCACAGCTGACCCTGCTCACCCTGCACACGGTCTGTTTGAACCACTCCCCTCAGGCAGGAGGCTTTGGTCCATTCGAACCAGAACCTCCCGCCATAAGAACAGTTTCTTCCCCTCTGCTGTTGGACTCCTGAACACTCATAATGCTACCTCATAATTTCTGCTTTGGTCACATTACATCTGTATTATATTTGAATACTCCATCTGTACTGTTTTCTAAGCTTTTTTATTGTTTTCTATTGTATGGGTGTACACATGTTTATGTTATGTTTTCATTTTTACTTTATTTGTGGGTGTACACAGGTCTTATGTCTTATGTAATGTTCTCATTTTTACTTCATTTTTACTTTATTTTTACTTTATTTTACTTTATTACTATTCACACCTTATGTCGAAGCAAATTCCTAGTTTGTGAACCTCGTTCATTGACATGGCAATAATAAACTGATTCTGATTCTGATTTTAGTATAGACTTCTCTTGCCAGCTGGCTAACTTTGAAGCAAGAAAGAAGGTTGGATCGTTCTGTCATTATTGATTCTGATGTGGAAAGAGCAACAGAACGTCAAATGAGAGATCAAACTCTTGTTCAGGAACCTGTAACCAAGAAAATATATCAGGTATCTGTTTCGAATAAATGTATCAGCTGAAAGTAACTTATGGCTCGGACAAAGTTTTAAAATTTTGGCTCCTTTTGGTAACTGAGTTTGACACGGAACAGCTGGTTGGTTACAAATGCTTGCAATGCAAAGAAGACAGGCATGAATCAATTTGATCCCATACTTGACTTTAAGATGAATCCTTCAAAATGCATCATTTTTTCAATTTGTTCTTATTTGCAAATGGCTAAATGTAACATTGAGGTAAATGGTACGGCTAAGATGCTACCGAAATGCCATGCCGCATGGATGCTGTTTAAGAAATAACCTATAAAACTACATTTGTTTTTATCGTTGAATCTAATTACGTACAGAACATTTATTGATAAGACTGGGCTCTATTGGTTCATTGTTTTTGTTTGATGTGGCACCTTTGTTGCCAGCAGCCTCGTCAGGTAGATCTCGGAGACCATCTTGCTGCCACGCTCACCCTCCTTCTGGTCCCCATGGTCGTGGTTCTTTACTAAATGCCAAACTTTGACACCGCTCTCCAGGTCAGGGGTGAGCATGGGCACACGGGAGTGGGGACTGTCAGGGCTGGTGGGTGTGGAGCGGAATGGTACATCCACACCTTGGTTGTCAAATATGATGCATGAAAAGAAAAAGAAATCACAATTTAAACTGTTATAGATGCAATTTTAACATATTTTTATGAATAGTGTGTCAAAAAAAGACACAAATGAAGGGAGTGTCACATTTTCATTCTCTCAGATGTGAGCACAAGGTTGATTGTCTTCATTGAGACGTGCAGCAGAGCAGGTGGGATGTGTGTTTGGACTGCATAAGCAACTGCAGTCATTACTACAGTGGTTGTCAAAGTAATGCTTCAGACATATACAAGATTGCTGTGGTTCTCACTTCCTGCCACTCACTGCTTTGTTTTTAGCTTTTTTTTTGGCCTTACATGATGACAAAATGTGTTGTTTTTTTTGTAAGTTGTAGTGTCTGAATGTTTGATTCACACTTTAAATCAAGCAGAGTTGTACATTAAAGTCAAAATCATGGGATTAAGTTAGACATCTCTAAAAAAAAAACTTCTTAACTCTTATTACATTTTATATTTATACTTTTTATAATGGTTTATTTTAAGACAGAGACGTGACAGAAATAAACGGTGCAGTAAATCAATAAACATGATAAATGTTAAGTATTTGCTTTACTTCAGCAAATTCAATACAGTAAACAAGGCCAGGCTGATTCTTGCAGATCCTGATCATCCACTCCATGGTGAGTTCAGGTTGCTTCTATCTGGACGCAGGTATCTGCTGCCCAGATGTAGAACAGACTGAATAACTCATTCATCCCTGTAGCGATCAGGCTTTTCAACAAACAGTGATGATTTCTGTACTGTTATTTTAATGTCTTAATATTTTCTCTAGTATGGATGTTTTGTGTGTACTGACTGAAACTAATTGCCCCTCGGGGATAATAAAGATTCTTGAACTTGAACTGCTTTGACAGCACTAACCATATCGGCTGATACTGCGTGGGAAGCTGGCGGATGAAGGAATGATGAAGGAGGACATTTGTTTGGGTACCAGGGCCACCACACAGCGGTCAGACACCTGAAATATAAAAGGACAGCCTTGTGAATTTTTTATGATCAAAAGCAATTACAGCAGTAAGTAAGTTTTTTGCTTTGTTTTGTTTTTTTGAATGTCCAGAGGACCAGATTTAACTTTTTTGGATTTTTCTACCTGGATTATTGAGCATGCATCAGGACAATTACAGCAAGGTTTTAAAATGGTCAAAGTAGAACAAAACCAAGGACCAGATATTCACACACATGATTATAAACTGGTAACATTCCTGTGTGGGTTAATGAAGAACTGACCTTTAATTTAAGTTCAGTTTTGTGTCAAACCCACCACTTTAATCTTGATAAAAATACAATAACATATTTGAATGTCAGCAATCAGAGCCCAGAAACAAATTATTATACACTTTTTAAAGTTAAATTAAATATTTAATGAGGGAGAGGTGGCGCAGAGGTTAGAAGATGGGCTTGTGATCAGAAAGTCGCAGGTTCACCTCCCGGTACCGTCAACATCAAAATGTGGGTGGAAAAGGTGAAACACTCACACCTCCCTCCACCCTCATTCTCCCCACCCTGGACCCCTGAGCAAGGCCCCCAACCCCCACCATCTGCCCCCCAAACAGGTCACTCTTGAAAATGAGTTCTCATGGCTCAATGAGACTACCTGGATAAATAAAGGCAAAAAAAAAAAATGAAAAATTTAATCTGAATAAAGAAGAGAGATTTTTTTTCCATTTTAGTAAATAAGTTTATGGCATCTCTAAATGCAGAAAAAGAACAAATTATGACTTGGTCTGACAAAAAAAATTAACCTTGTTTCACTAAGATGTTAACCAGATTTCCTGATGCATGCTCAATATGGTCAAAAGGATGGCCCAACACAGAAGATCAACAACATCAGGCCAGGACTCTGAGATCTACACTCATCTCCAGGCCAACGGTCACTCGTTCAGGGATGAAGATGTTCACATCCTTGATAGAGAGGAACAATGGTTTGAGAGAGGAGTAAAGGAGGCCATCTTTGTGAAAAGAAATTGTCCATCATTAAACAGGGGTGGAGGCCTCTGTGTTCAACTGTCCCCCTCTTACAATGCTGTTATTGCTAGTATCACTCAGCCACCTGTGAATAATAAACAGCCATCAGTGTGCTTATGATTCATCGTTAGGCTGATGGTCCTCCTTGATCATGTGAGCAGCTGGTTTTGGCTGTCAGCAGCAAACTGGTTGAGCCACTCTGAGAAGGTGCTAGTTATAAGACTGAGCTGAATACAGTACTTCAGAATAAGGAAGTCTTTCGGATGAAAGACGAAATGTTTCAACAATTTTTTTTGTTTTGTTTTTTGAATGTCCAGAGGACTAGATTTAACGTTTTTTGGATTAAACAGATTTGTTAAATTTAAGAAACACGTGGTGGAAAAGCTACAAACACAAACACACACACACACACACACACACACACACACACAC